TTTTTATGTGACAAGTTCATTGTTAGCAGTTGGCGTAGTGAAAAAAATATGTATATTCGCGGGAGCATTTAAGGTTCGTCAGTTCATTTACCGATGGGGTTTTAGTTTTGTGCCTCTAAAAGTAGATTTAGTAAGTTCCATCTCAGCAGAATCAGAATTAGTAGTTGGGGAAAATATTGTTAAATTGGCTTAGGTGAATACAGCGAGGGGAAGGTTGTTCGGTTACTTTTTGGCATGAATTCGTAAGAAAGCAATTGAAACAGAGGGTGGAAGGGTGGAGGAGAAAGTATCATGGAAGGGAAAAGCGGGAAGGGGAGAATGCCTGCGAACAGCCCCTCGTAGTATCGGAAGAGGAAGCGTCGTTTCGTTTCGTTATTTCGTAATGGCAACGAGCGAAATAGGAAGTGTGCTCAAGCGTGAGTTGTATATTAGAAAGCTTCGACTAAAATGCTTCTTTTGGTGCGTTTTCTGCGAATTTAAAAACTATTGCAGTTCGGAAATAGAAAAATGGCACTGTTTTATATAAATAATTGCGCATATAATGGCTGCAATCTTCATTTTGCAAGTCTTTACGATCTTTTGCAACATATCGAAGAAACTCATATTCGTAGGCTTTTTCTCTCTCCTTTTTTTCACTGCCATAAGCGTTACTTTTTATTTACTTATTCATTCGATTTTAAATTATTTTTTAAAAATAAATTTTTCTCTAATTTTTAATAAGCAAATGTTTGTTTAATTATGAAATTTTCTTCTCTTAAGTGAGGGTCAGACCAGTTTTGAATGTATATATATATATATGTTCATTCAGTTGAGTTTCTTGGGATTCCATCTCGTGGGACGTGAAGTACGACCTGAGGTGGCGAGTGCTTGCGACGTTGCACACTCTGCGAATTTCTTCGCATAAATAATGCAACGATTGCAGCAAGTAATATGAAGCAAAGAAGTGATAAATAGAAGATGAATATGGAACTGATATATGACGCCCAGAGTTAGGATAGCCCAGAAGGATGAAGTTTTTTGCGTTTCTCAGTCGAAGATCCAAAACAAATAGAAATCGCTGAAAAAAACAGGTTAAGTGCCAAATCACTTGGATGCAATGGGGAAATTAAATAAAGCCAGTGTTTGAGTTCCACATAAATTCACCATAATGCTTCAACAATGGTCAAATTCTTTCGCTTTCTAAAAATGAACCACTTTTTGAGCATCATTGGCGATGAAAATTGGATATTCTATGATAATTCTAGGCAATGGTTTTCGACAGTAGTTAATGAACAGTAACATTAAACATTTATGGCAGGAAAATGAGAGAATACAGATAAAGGGAATAATTCAGTAATTCATTATGGCCTCCTGGGACTTGGTCAGACTCTTATTTTTGATGTTTACTGAACCAACCCACTCGTATAAAAGAATGAATTAATTTTATTAAAATTTCCTCAAGTAGCTTATAGAAATTGTATAATCTTGCAACATGATAATGCGAAAATGCCTGCTTCAAAAAATACGCAAAAAATAAGAAGTTTGGCTGGAAAGTCCTGGGAAATATCTGCCTTATAGCCTCAACGCCTCTTATGATTTATCGATTGGTTCGGATCTATAGCTACATATTTTCGAAAAAAATTTCGTTTTGATGATGTGATAAACATCTTGGAATATTTCAAATCTAAAGGTGGTCTAAATTGCGGGAAATGATGGCAATTATTTAATTGATAATTAATTGTTTGGTTTTTTTGATATTTTAATTTAATTTAATTTTTGACAGCATCATTTATTAGACCTAAGCTATGAATGAGAAAATCGGAAAATGAATGAAAATTCAAATAAGAAAATTTCTGTAAAATTTCTCGTAGAAAATGAGATAAGCCTTTTATAAAAGATTCATCTTTAATTCGATTTTTGATATTTAAAAAATTAATTTGATTATAGCGATAGAAACAGAATTAGCGAAAAAGGATGAAATGGACAATTCTTTAAATCAATTATTTCACGATGAAATGAAAGAAATTTCTTGTGGAATGAAATCTTCAACTTTATCGTTAAGTATTTTTTACAGGTAATTTTTTATAGGTAATAATTTTTTTCAAGTGAGTTTTAAAATATTTTATTTTATTTAAATTTGAATTTTTTCGCTAACATGGTTTTTTTTTTTTAAATAGCGCGTACCATTTCTGATTTCCTGAACCACAGATGGACAGGAATGAAATGTTTTCGTCAAATAGACATATAGAAATAGAAATGCATTTTTTTACTGTCAAAATGTAACAATCGAATCCATGATAATGGGCTCTCAGTCGAAGGAATATATCATTTGATCATTCTACTGTTGTATTAATATCTTTCGAGTAAAAAATTGAATCTGGTGAATTTTTTAAATAGAAATGTTGAAGTTTCCAGTTAAATAATTTTTTAAAAGTATTACTGAAGCATTTTGCAGTGAAAATTCGTGTTATATATATTATATAAAGTTATATATATTTTATATTTATTTTTTTAATAGCAGTTATAAATAAAGCGGTTTAATATTTTAACATCATATTTTATTCCTTATGTCATATAAATTATACACTTATTTACTTTGGGTGATGCTGGCGGTTTATATCTTTTTCTATTTCTGTTGCAAAATAACTCCTCGGTGAAATTATGCTGGCTTCACTGGCTACTAGGGTAAGACATTTCCAAGCTATTCGATCTGATGCTATTGTCGATATTAATAGAAGCAATTTTTTTTTCCATTGTCTAAGTCCATATTGCTGATCCATCTATGTGTTCAAAATCTTTCCTAATCTAGGTCTTGATTGGCCACCTCGCTTTTGATGTCACCTATCACAGGTAAGCAAGTTTAGCAAGTAAGAAATATGTTAACTGTTGTGGTTGGCAACGAAAAACGTGCTTTATGATGGTTAATGCAAGTGGTATTTGAACAAAAATGATGTAAGATTTTATCCACTCGGCGAACCCATAAAACTGCCTTAGATATGAGTGGTCAAACATGTATATAACTTAATTATAATTTAAACACTGATATATCTTTCACTCTCATTGGCTATGTCTTGTATCCATATAGCAAAATCGAGCGAATCGGTGCTTTATAGACCCGGACTTGTCTTTTATGGTGGTTTCTCGACGGCTCCACAAAGATTTCGTTAACCGGAAGAACGCATTTCTAGTTGCCGAGTTATAAGTTCGTTTTTTACTTGGCCATTCGGTATTAGAGTGGATCCAAGGTATTTATTAGGGCAATAAATTTATAAAAAGAGGCATTGTACATATGATGAAAAACTTTCGTTTTATTTATTTCGTTTACACTGAGTCCGATTCTCGCTGCAGTTGCTGACAGTTATTTAGCATTATTCGCATATCGTCACTATCAGCAAAAAGGATTACATCATCAGTGTATTAAAAATCTGTGATACGACGCTCTGGACTGAATACACCCCTTGAACACCTCTGGATTGGCGGCAAGCTGTGTCCATTGTCCAGCCAATCACATAGTTGAATATTTTAGGGGGAAGGATGCAACCTGGACGGATACCAGTTCTTATTTCGAAGGACTTTGTCAATTCCCCATATACACAGAGCTGCACCTATTTACGCTGGTAAAAATATCTTTATGAGCCTAATAATTTTCTCTGATACACCGTCATTTCCATCACTCTCTAAGGCGCCATTCTATCAATTGAACTGAAGGCAGCAGCAAAATCAATGAAATACATAACGGTGAGTTACAGATATTTGAAGCGATATTCCAACATCCTTGTTAGCTTGAATATCTGGCAGCACAACTGCGTCTCGGTCTAAATCCACCTTGATTAGGGCATATCCTGCTGTATTGCCATAGTCTATAGTCTATACAAGAGAGAAGCAAAAAATTGAGATGTCCCAGAAATGTTTAGGAGGCTGATTCCTCGATAATTGTCACAGTATGTCCTATCACTTTTTTTAAGAATTAGGAGCGAAATTGCTTTGCTTCGGTTATCTGGTTTTTTCTTCTATACCAGCGAGTATTTTTGTTGAAAGTATAATATGAAGGCGATGGACAACATTTAAAGAGTTTGGCCTTAAGTCCATTTTCAGGAGTTTTATTGGCCTTAAGTTTCTGGATATTAGATTATTTCCTACTCTTTTGTCGGTTCGCAGCTGCAAAAATATATGACTGGACCACCGATTCAGCTATGTTCGAGATAATAGATGGCGTGGTTATGCTTGATCTCAAAGAATTCCTTCCGTTTTATGAGAATTTTTAATACCTTTAACATGTAAGTACTCTTGGAAAATAACAAAACAATCCTTATCAAATATCAAAAATAAAAATACTGATAAGAATAAGATTAAAATGATAATAATTTTTCGAAAAAATTGCCTTCTTCAATATGATTGCAGTATTCAATTTTCCAATTCTAAAAGATATTTTCATCCTACCTTTTTTTACTTATGATTTTCTATCTTCAGATTTTATGTGAAATAACCAATTTTTGTTGTAATGATCTTATTCTTACTCGTTTTAGATTGTTTCCGAAGCTTCCTGCTCAAAAAGCTCGTCCCGTCCCAAATGAGCAGCCGAAAGTGTCATTTTGCCTTTATAAGTCAACTTTATGAATTTTTTAAATTTTTTCACTATTTTTGTGGATTAAATAAAAAAGCCTGCGCATTTTCATACAATTTACTAAGAAATTAAAATTTGAAAAATTTGATTCAATCGAATTTTACAGGAGAAAACCATCTTCAGCTGTCAATACAAATGAAATAAGTCCTGCAAATAGACAATCGAACCGTCCAGGTTTAAAAATGCTAATTTTGCAAAAATTTTCTTCCCATAAAGATAGGTGCTTGGCAAAAATAGCGAAAAATACATATGTCTAAATTTTCTTTTAGCAAATTCCTAGATTTCATGGGTGAGTAGTTCCAAGCAAATCGAAGCTTCAAATACATTTCTTTAGCTATAGTATTTTTTTATATATTAATTTGAATGATTATTTTTCAGTTTATTTCAGATCAGGAGGATGAACAGTCCAACGATTCGATTGAAAATGATGAAGACACTGGGTTTGTAGTTTATATTTATGGATTATTGAATTTTTTTCATATATGATTAGATGGTTTATGGGTTTCAAATGTAAAATTTAATAGTTAATGTTTTTATTGACCATAACGATGATCGACGTTATAAATGTCCCGTCGAAGGATGCAATAAACGCTACAAAAACTTGCAAGGTGCCAAACATCATGCTCGGCAAGTGCATGGTATAAATGACGATTCTGTCGGTGTTGTCACTTCAATTGATATATTACCTCGACCTGGAAATACGAGTGTTGGACCTGCTCAACCACCAGTTACCAAATATGCAAGGTTCTTTTTTTAAATTTTTACTTCTTTGTTTATTCCTTTTATTATTTTATGACGTTTTTTCCTATTACATTGCGATTATTTTAACTTCAATACTTTGGCTTCAATTGTAATTTTTCTTATATCTTAAACGGTAAATTTAAGTATGCGCCCTTATAAATGTGCTCATTGCACAAAACGATATAAAACTATGGTCGGATTAAGTAATCACATGCAACAAGGTCATCAGCGGCTCAGTATACCTAGTATGGGACATTTTATTTTTCATTTCTTAAGTATAAATAAATATTGTTGATGTTGAAGAAAGAAAAAACTAAAAAAGCTTTGATTCTTTTATAGATTTTTAATTTTGGTTTAAACATGAAGATTTAGGTTTATTTTTCGATAAATTAATAACAATTAAAAATTAATAGCGTCCACTACGAATCTTACCACCAATCTTGTTCCCGTTTCTCCTTCGGCTGTTTCGAATTCAACTTCAACACATCTGCATACGCAGAGTGGTGCCCAAGAATCTCATGTTTGTTTCGTTTCAAATATTTCGGAAAATATATCATTAAATTAGCATGTAAAATTGTTGTTTAGCTACTTAGTGCTCAATTTTTTCATTGCAGAATAGTATTGGCAGTTTACGTGAAGAAGCTCAAAACCCAACTCAGGTTAATGTGTGCATCGCAAGTCCTTATAATTCGAGTACAGCTCCAATGAATGTAATACCACCTGGAATGAGAGTAACTGCACAAACAATGTCATCAGTAATTGGTCATCAATACCAGAATCAAGTTCCTAATTTTTTTCCGCTATAAGAAGTAATTAGTGTGTACTGACACTGATCTTGAAGATGATTTTAAGAATTTGTAATCGATGTTTGAATGTTTAAAAAGTATTTGAAGTAAGTATTTGAATTTAAGATTTATCCTTCAAATAAAGGAGCTTCTGTACATGGGACCAATATACAAGTAAGGACTGTTGGCAACGTACTTGGCATATCAAGAACAACACCATTACCATATCAAGTTCCAGTGGCAACCAACGATGTTTCTCAACAGGTTTTTTTAGATTAAATTGGAGATTTAAGGTTTTAAATTAGATTTAAAAATAAAATAAGATTTAAAATTATTTTGGGAAAAATTCATAATTTATAAGTTGTTTCATTTCATATTAGACTTAAAATTTATTTTCATGGACATTCCAATTTAGACTTTAATGCTTAATGCTTATTAAGTACATATATCGTTATAAACAGAGGCGAAACAAATTTTGAGCTCTTTCTAATAATTGTTATATAAATTTATTTTTTCAGCGTCAGATTATCAATACGTTATTATAGGTAGATGCACAAATTCCTAATAAAGTACCACAAAGAGTTACGAGTAACCAAACTTCATTGAATCGTTCACATTATCAACAGTTTAGTAAGACATTATAATTACTCCAATATTTCTAGCATCTTTTATTCTACCGTTCCTTTTAATAATAACAGAACAAATGGAAATATTTTTATTTTTACTTCTGTTCGTTTATTATCAAAATACGAGGGAAAAATTTTAAAACATCAAATTATCTAGAAAATATATTTTTTTATATTCGTATGTTGGTTACCTAATATGCTGAGCGAAAGGAATCCGGAATTTGGGTCGTTGCTTCCTGCTCCTTTAAATCTTATCTCGTCATTCTTTTAAAACTTCATTAACTCTTCCAAATACCTTTTCAAAATTCCTTATGTTCTGGAGCACTATTATACCCCTTATGTTCTGGAGCACTATTATTACATGGTAAATTTTAACATGTATGGAACTCCACTCCTGCACTTTTCTTATATTTTCCTTAAATTCCTTCATATTCCTTTGGCACCTAAACCTCATCCTATTCTATTAATTCTCTCCCTCTAATTAAATTCAAGAAGTAAAATTGAATTGTAATTCTATAGTTCACCAGAGTTACAATTTGGAGTGATCTTGAATCCAAATTTTAAGCTTAGATTCTTCATTTTCTTATTAAATTTTCGATATCTTTATATAAAATTATGCCTACTTTTTTTTCTAAGTCAAGCAATTTTTATGTTAGCCTATTTGTATGCGTTATTTTTTCTTCTTCTGTCCATCGTTACAATGGTTTATTTTTGTTGATAACAAATTTATACAATTAAGAAAAAAGGAAAAAAAGGCCTATGTATATTTATAAAGTAAGAAAATAATATTAGGGAGAAAAATAGGGAAACGTAAATCAAATGGTAAATGGTAAATCCAAAAAAATTTATTTTGAATAAATTAAATAAAAATTTCAATAAAATCCCTCGCTTTTTTTCTAGATCAAGCATATCTGCAACGTGCTAGGATGTCATCAAATCATTCAAGTAGTTCTATTAATGTACAATATAACAACGATATTCCGTTGAATACATCTTCCAATTCTGATTCACAGGGTATAAGTGGACAATCTGGTCGCGTACAACAATTTTGATATAACAAGATTTTTAAGGAATTATTTTGATGATAAATAAATATATATATATATATATATAATAGGCATTTCTTGCATTGCAAATATTATTTAAAAGATCGGAATCTTCTGAATAACGGATGCCTCTCCTCATCTTTGGCTGTCTTCGTTTTTTGTGTGTATGAAATTGAATTGCTGCCGGAGAATGATGAAAATGAACTTTCCTTACGCAATGTCTGAAAAGTTTTCATATCAAAATTAGTAGTAAAATATAGATTGACTTATAAAAATTAATTTATTCAAAGTTTTTTGTAAACAATGATTAAATTAACCTTTGCTTCACGAACACCATCGAATGTTTCTTCTTTGACGTCTTCTTCTTCAGCATCAGCATCAGAAGCAGCCAGTACTTGTTGCAAGAGTTGTAATTGTGAATCTTTCGTATATAACTTTAATTCTTCTTTTTCCATTCCCGGTAATCTGTTTACAACCTGGATAAACAAACACTCAGAGACAGCCCCATTTCGAGTGTCACATGAAATTAAAATCTTTTATCTAAATTAAAATTAGCAACCTTATATGCATAACCCTGGTTGACTAGAAACCTTTGACGTTTCCGCGAGTAACTCATTTCAACGGTGTCCTGGAAAATAAATGCCTTAGAAAGACAAGGCTTTAATATGCCACAGTTTTGAATGCCAAAAGTATCAAAATATGCAAAAATATACTGGTTCAAACAAGAATTTAAAAAGAATCGCAAACAAGAATTTAAAAAGAATCGAAGAAAATATTAAAGAAAAATAACCTGCGAAACTAAGGAATAAAAAAAGGCATTGAATGCATCCGTAGAATTCTTTTTTGCTCGTAATATTCGACCAAGACGTTGCGCTTCTTGTCTTCTCGATCCACCGTGTGCAGAAATTTGGATTAACACATTAGCTTCAGGAAGATCAAAAGATGTATCAGCTACCTGAAAAACATCAAAATCGACGTCTTCTCACCCAACTAAAATCTTTTTCTATTAACAAAGAAAAAACTGTGTTATCTGCTCACCTTTGAAACAAAAATCGTATTTACTTTTGGATTAAATTGAAAATTCTGCAGAATTTTCATTCTTTCATTTTGCCCTGTTTCACCATACAAAAATGGTTTGTCCATTTCAATAGCATACTTTTTTAAAGCAAACACATTATCCGAGAAAACAATGATCTACAAATTAATTTTTGAAATTTTAAGATATAACAAGCCAAGGATAATGCTACTTTTTAGCACCATTTTTATCCATTTAGCACAAGAAAAGGACGATAATTTATTGATTGATATCACCTTATCATTGCGTCGTTCATGGTATTTGATAAGAAATTGACAAATGCGAAATTTATTTGGATTCATCACAGAAAGCAAAAGCCTACGTGCTATTTGAGCACGCAAGTAATATGAATAAAATTCAGCTGTCATAGGACACCAAACCTTAAAAAAGCCAATTGATTTCATATAGCTGAAAAATGAAAATAAATTAGAAAATGGATTTAAGTATTCAGTAAATTAAGAAATTGGAACAAATTGGAACTTATAATAAAGTGATGAAACCGCAGATGTGCAAATAAAACAATAAAAGTAAGCAAGGAGAGTTTAAAAAATATCCGAAAGCAGCAAAGGACTGAAGAATTGTATTATTAAAAAATGCCAAAATTTTTAAAATTATCTAAGTCATCAATATCACTCTATATAAATCGCTTTTTTAAAAAATATACAAAAACATATCAATAGAAAATTACTTCAGCACACTGCACTTTTGCAATATGTCCAGCTTTTTGTAATTCCATCCAGTTTGCTTCATAGATTTTTGGACCGATTAAAAAATTTAAATCGGTGATTTTATCGTCTTCTCTTACCAATGTCGCAGTAAGCCCAAGCTTACAGTGCGCTCGAACTATAGTGAGCACACGACGAAACATTTTGGCCGGTATAGTATGTACTTCTGAAATGCCTTACTTACTCCGATTATTTTAAAATCATTATGCAATTATTTTACAAGAGATAGGACGACCCAGTCTTACAATACCTTCAAGAAAATTTATCATTAAAAGATCCAGGTAATGACTCATTTATACTTTATATCAAATCAAATGAACCTCATGAAAAAGCCTTAATTAGCCAAATACAAGCCAACAAAGCCAGCTAGCTTGTAAAGCCAAAAAATTGTGTGGGATATTAGAAAAATACTACTTTAATGGCCTTTCTGTAAAGCACGTGTTTCTTCACAGTTTCTATCTTCTTTTAAAATGATAATATAATAAAATATAATAAATTGTATTGTAATAATTCATCAATATAACGACTTAAAAATTAAATAATCGTAAAAAAATTAAAAGATAACCATCTAATATAACTAATCCCCATTCACGATTTTCAATGAATTTCATTGCTTCTTCAGCGACATACGTGCGCTTACCAGTGTAGGCAACCATGGAATAAGTGCTAATGCAAACAATGGGTTTACAGATGTTTGGCCCCGAGGGCACTGCATCTCTAGCTTCTCTAGTAAAGCGAACCAACTGGTCATCTCGAATTGTCGACCACAGCTATAAATACAAAATATTATAAATATAAATATTTCTTCAGTAAAAGTGAGAGAAAAAAACTCAAACAGATTCATAATAGATTCATTGACTATATTATTTAGGACGCAATAATCGGAATAAAATTTTTAAATTTTTAAATGTTTAAGAATTTTTTAAATTTATTTTTTACCAGGATTTATTTTTCAGTTTTGTTATTTCCTATTCCTAATTTTTTATTTAAAATTCCCATTTTTGAAGCAAAAACTAATTTTTTTGAAATTTATTTCTAAAAAAATTTAGTTGCTAGGGAAGAATTTTTTTAATCAATTATTTCTGTGATAAACACCAATTACCTTTCATTCAAGAATTACCTTTCATGAATCAAAAAAATTTTTTGATCTTAAAATCAAAATTTTGAAATAATTCAGAAATGATTTGTAAATATAAACAACTGAAGTAAGCAAGAACCTTAAATTGAGCTCTCCATTGTTCTACAGAAACATTAGAAGTAGCCAAACAAAGACAACTTTTGTTAACAGTAGTTGCAGCAGTAACTCCTACCAAAGTTTTGCCTGCACCACATGGCAGTACAATTACACCTGATCTTGCGCGACTATTCCCAAACATTTTTCGCAAACTTTTTTCTTGATATGGTCTATATAAAAAAACAATAGTAAAATTAAAATTTTTTTAAAAAACCAATGACTGAATATGACTGTCTATGTATTTCTCCTATATACGACGTTGCATAAATGAGAACCTTAGTACAGTTGAGGGTTTTAAATCAATGCCAAGATTTTCATTAAAAGTGTCATTACGAAAGTCGTATTCAGCAAGTAATGGATATTCCAACTCTATGCATCGTTTTTGAACAATTTCAATCGATTCCTGCTTTACCTTAAATTTGCTCATGAGTTCCTCATGTTTTACTTTTAATTTAAGAGAATAAAAAATCAATTCAAGAAATTCAAAACCATTTCTACAAACTCAACTGCTAAAATTTTTTCAAAAAATTCATGGGGAATTGTCAAAAAAAAAATTTAGAAAAATTGATTCTATTGTTCTGCTATTCATAACATAAAAATAAGAAAATTATAAATTATAAAAGGGAAAAACATAAAAAGACCTCAAAAGTGAGAAGTTGCAGATTTCTGATAGCGTCCTCATCATCGTCATCATCGTCATCAAGTTTACCATAGAACTGATTAATATCATCTGGAACATCATTTGTGCTTTCAATTTCACTTTGGACTTTCGCCAACTGTGTGCCAGGTATTTGAATTTTCTCTCGATTTATATCCTTTGAATTAAGGAATATATAAAAACTAATTGAATTTATAAAATAGTTTAATTTCTCAATATTTCCTAATACTGCGGACAGGAAAATGAAACTATGCTATAATTTTTATTTAGAAGTAAACGAATTATGCGGGATAATTTCGACCAGAAGCAAAAAAAAGAGAAAAATAAAATTCGCGAACGACCTTTATTTCAACAGTAGACTTTAAGCAAAAGAAGAAGGATAATATTTCTTCGAGTTTTTTCTATTGACTCTAAAAACCAACCACAAGCGGAATTTCTTTAGCTGGCATATTATCAGCGAGACATTGTTGTATCATTTTATCTTTTAGCAAATTTTGAATAACATCAGAATGTCTCGATTCAATGAAATAACGGTTGTGTTTTAACACCAATTTCACTTTACCATAACTGAATGTACAAATCTGAAATCAAAGGATTTTTTTAAAAAACTGCGAATTGAGAATAAATTTCGAGAACGAAAATGGCAAAAAAACAACGACGGAAAAAAATTTTTACCTTAATAAATTCAATAATCCCTTTAGGCAGCGAAGTTTTCGAAAGACGCTCCAAATATTCAATTATGTCGTTAGTCTGAAGTCCAACAGAGACGGCTGCATATAATGAATATGCGGTTAATTGATATTCATGTATAAATTCAGGACGACATACGGGCTAAAATCTCACTCAAATAATATAGATAACAAAATTTTCAAAGCAGTCAACATAAATTATTAATTGTAAGACAAAACTGAATAATTTATCTCCTTAATTGCCCAGTTAATAAATTGTGATTCGTTGTTAATATATGATGCTTTCTTATGCTTTCTGAGAAATTTTCAAAAAAACTTTATTTTCATAATAAGTCAAGTTTTCCAATTTAATATAAAATAAAATAATAAGTTTTTTGATTTAATTTTGATTTTTAAAAAAATAATTAAATAAGAAACTTTTTTCCTAAAATTCCGTAATAATTTAGTGAATTTTGTTAATTAAATCAAATCTGAATGGCTGCTAAAGCCCCAAATACTCCTACATTTAAGCTAAACAAATCTAAAATGATGTCCACGTGTTCCAATGCATAGTATCACTAATCCGATGGCACATGCAATATAAGCGAACCAGACTTGAACATACTATTATTAAAATGATAATATTATTAAATATTTGTTTCAACTGTGTTATTTAAAAATCCGTGTAAGTCCTCGAACTGAATGGACTAACCCACTTAAGGAAATAAGACAAATCTCACCCGGCTCTATGCATGTGACGAGATCTTCACCACAGGTGGGTGGAATCCCTATGAATATAGAAAATTAGGCAATAACCATTCACAACTTATCGTTTGAATAACGGATAACGTCGGAAATCTATATTCATCACTTTGGTTCAGAGCAATACAGAATTCAGAATTATATACGACTTAATTAACTACTGGTTCAAAACTATACAGAATGAAGTTCAGATCTGAACTATGATATCGCAGTATTTTTGATAAATCAAGAGAATACACATAAAAAGATTCTATGCCAAGCTTAACTTGGTAACACTATCTCTCACAAAACAATCGCAGATTGGAATACGCCCACAGGATCTGAAACAGCCTCACTATCTTTTGTGGCCACAATTATTGTTACACCAGATATCATACTGTGAACATATTGCGCATGGGAACCAGCAAAGCTCGAGGTTAAGACCATGCTATAATTAAAAAAAACGTAATATACATCAATATACATCAATGTAATATACATCATATGCAAAATACATCCTCCAAAATTTTTTGATTACCTCTAGTTGAAAAATTCAAGGACGGTAGCGAGCTGAGGCAATGAAGGATATTAACATTATTGCCAGCTCTAAGAATGCCGATGAGCATTGATTTCAGTTGAACCGGTCCTAAGAAACACGACTCAGAAGGGAAGAAGGCAAGAGGAGTTTCAAATGAACCGATCGAACTGTCCGACTGTACTGTAGGAGATGTAAGATATTAACTATCAGAAGCATCGTAGACTAGATTAAAGCGGTGACAAAAAGAGATATGAGAAAGGTATGATTTTGAATACGAAGAGAGCAGGCGATTAATTAAAATTGGTTCCCCTACTCTGTAAGGCAACTGTAGCTCATCGGTTAGTGAAATAATTCCAGATAAGGAATCCTCTGAAATCCCATTAAGACTGCCAAAGACCGTCTCTCTCGCTAGATGGGCCATCCAACATATCCGATATGATAGTCTCTGCAATTCATAAGTTTGACCAATAAAATCCTCAGAGATGGGGCTGAATCTTTCAAATACTGCCCCTTCACAATCTGTAAAGGCTATACTCATTAGTATAGGTGAAGGAACAAATGCCATCCGGTCGGAACAAACAATTCTACTTCCAGTTCTCAAAAAAGAAAGATGGTATAATTCACAGTGGCAACTATCGAGAAACCATCTTAATAGATATTTCTAGAAAAGTTTTTTCTTTTTTCTACTGAATAGACTCAGAGCAATGCGTGATAGCACAGCGCGTCTTAACTTAACCAAGCCGAATTTAAGCTAAAGTGTGGCCATGACGATCAGTTTATTTTCATGGTGAGAAAGATACTGGAATTGTTTCAAGCATTGAAAACCGCAACAATGAAAGCAGACAAATCAATATAAATAGAAGAAACATATTTTTGGCATTGGCATCAGTACTGACTGATAAGAACTTCTATAAATTCGTAATATACGCCTAGTAGACATCGGAGAAATGAACGACTCCAGTAACTTTCAGGAATGGTATAGGGTTGGAAGAGTTGGAGATATCTTACTCTAGTCGTCACTGGAACAAGCCAAACCAGCAATAAGAAGAGGGAGGCTTAATTACAAATTTTGCTAAAAAAAATCTAAGAAAATTACATCAATGGACCAAAAAAATCATCAAGAACTTGAAATACTTCTTCGCCAAATATACCTCAGAAATAGCAATTAAGAAGTCATGCGCATGTTTGTAAACAGGACTGAACGATTCCAAAAATATATGCCCATCCGGAGCAACCCACAAAGGACGTGAAGCGCTATCAGGCTTCAATTTCATTTCGTGTCTGTAATCTTTAGCACCAAATTCATCAGTGCGAATCGTCACCGTTTGATTCTCCAAATTTTGACTTGCTGCTTTTGGTACTGAAATATATTTTTAAAAATTTTAAAGAACTACTGGAATTAAATTCTTCACATGCTCATATATTATGTCAAACATACAATAGGCTCTCACTTCTTAGAAAAATGATAGCCCACGTGGTTTCAATTTATATAATAACAGGCGTTTTATTTTACAGATCGCAGATCATTCGACCATTATTTTTCCAGTATTATATCGATAAATTGAAGATAACCTCATTAAGCAAAATGCTTCTGAAGGAAAATTAAACTAGATGAAGCAGCGAGGATGCAGATCCAACCTGATTCGGTGGATACAGAAGCTTTAAAATTACCCGATGATATGTCTTTCTCGATTGTATTCTGCCGCTCATTAAAACCGCCGGAGGACTGCGAATTTTCATCTGCATTATAATCTGCATTATAGTGTTCCCATTTTCCACGTTTTCTTCGTTCTTGTTTCGGTGCCATCAGGTTTCTTCGTAAATAAAATAAATATAATCATGTTATTATGTATAAAATTCGAAGCCAAATCGATTTTTTTTATGAACTTTATTTTGAACGTGAAATTTGCTTTACTGTGTAAAACAACAGACACTCTGGAAAAAATTATTGCGGGAATAACCCACCGAAAATAGATAAGAAAGGAAATATATCATCTTCGCTACAGGGATGAATTATGTGCTAAAAGTGAACGAGACATTGACTCGTTTGTCCATTTAACAAGAATTTACAGGTGGTAGTAATGACTTATGTGGTCCATCAGGACATACAGATAAATGCCACACCTTGACATCCCACAGTCACATGGCAATCATGATGAAGGCAAATATCTAAATATATCACCAAAAAGGACAAGCATATATACACTGGGAAAAGACCAAGGAAAGGAAGTACCATGGCAAAACAAGAATCATGGGCTATATCATCGACAGATATCGGACATATAGATAATCAGGTGGCTGAAAAATACTACCAGTAGTTGGAAAAAGCTGGAATAAAAGGTAACAATGAGACACTGATCATAACAACACAAGAGTAGATAATGGATCCATCAAAGCAGAGAGGATTTACCACACCAGGGCAAGACTCAGGGTACAGATTGCAAGAACTGTCCAACACATAATGCAAGCAGGAAAAGCGTATATGAAAGTCATAATCAAATAGATGGCATCATCTTAGGGACCCCTGCTCGGTATATCCTCTCAAGACAGGAAGATTTTTCAGAAAATCATGAAAAAAAAATAAGGCGAAGAACTGTAGGACTTCTCCAAATCAGAAATTAGCACTGGTAATAAATATAATAATACTAAGTGACAAGAAAAAGGAATTGGGGAAATAGCAAGGGTTGAAAGAGGAACTAGAGATGTGGAAAGATGAAGGCCAAAGTAATCCCAGTGATAATTGCAGTACTTGGAAGTGGGCACCAGCGTACCAAACTAAGGGCAACAACCCACTGAGCTATTCAACCACCACATCTCACCAAACACATCAAAAGCATTGCCAACTTCCAGTCAAAACGAAATGTGAGTTAATCTGAACTAAACTCGCTTAAACTAATTTCCCATTTTGATATCAATCATAATGTCATAATAAACAAAAAATTAATCTTTGGCGAAGCAAATAAAAGAAAACGTTTATTCTATTAAATTACAGTAGAGCAAAACAAGCAACTAAATAATAAAATAAAAAAAACGGGAAAAAAGAAAAAAAGGAAAAAGGAAGGGAAAAAGAGAAAGAGAAAGGGACTGTCACTTACGAGCTTCAATCAAGAAGCCAACCCTTTCCCCTCGCAACTATCTATAAAAGCAATTTTAAAAATGCATCAATCAAATATGAAACAAAAGATTCGTATGTCACAAAACATTAAACGATTTTATCTGATTTCTTTAAAATCAAAACAAAAATTTCCCGATATTCTTAGCATAACATAATAATAAAACATAAAAATAATAAAACATAAAAAAGCAGAGGAATTAGTAATTTATTAGCCAAGATTAGGTGGTCATAACATAAAAACAAAGCAGTTTACAAATTTAAAAATGCTTTTATTCTAAAAATTTATAAAAAATTTCGAAAAAATTCTATTAACAATATTATGAATTAAACAAATATAATAAAACTTAGCATAGTTCTTAAATACAATACAAATCAATCTTAGTACTGATATCGAACCGCATTAATTTTTCCAACATTCGTACAAACCAGTCAGCACTGAATTAAGTTCACCTTTGTCCTTCAGCTCATGATATTTTTTATAAAGACGATATATATTGACAGCTCTACCAATACAATCCATTGTTGAACTATCGCCCACACCACCTAAAAAATATCGTACTTGATAATTATTTAAATTATACTGTTTTAACATGAGTCTGTACAATTCAAAAAAAAAACAAACCAAGAAGTTTGGAAACGAGAAAGTCAAGTGGAAATAAAGATTTTGAGGGCTTTTGAAACAATTGCATTGTATCGTATTCAGGTTGAATCTACAGTTTTATGCAAATTATTCAACATTTTACGACTAAATTTAAAAAAAAGAAAGTGTATAAAACTATGAATGTATAAATGTATGCAGTTCGATATCAGTGTTAAGATTGATTTGTATTGTATTTAAGAAAATGTATAAATAAAAAAAATGAATAACACGTACAGAGATGCTTAGAGTCCTCAGTACATGATTTTCACCATGAGATATGAAATTAACGCCTTGATCAATCAAATATAACAATTTCATATGTATAGTTTTGAAGCTGGTTAAATGCTCCTCATTCACAAAATTAGAAGCAGTGCTCCATCCTTGTGAATATTGAGCTGAACTATCATCCGTAATCGGTTTTACATAATCGTCCAAGAAACAATCGCCATTACCATTGACACAACTCACACGTATTACAGATGGTCCATCAAGCTAAAGAATTATGGGAATAAATTTCCTGATAATGAATTTAAAAGGGAATTACCAAATCTAAAGTATTTCATGTTGCAAAAAAACATAAGTATGATCCACTATGAAAAATTAAAAAATAATATGGTCTCAACTTTAATGAATTTTGGCGCTATAAATGGCAGACAACTTTATTAATGAATTTGGCATCACTGGTTTATTTCTTTGCTGGTTTTAAGATTATATAAGAGCTATACAGTTTGCAGTTTGCTTGTAGTTATATGTGCCATGCCAAAGTTAATTATATGGACCTATTGTTTTTTAATGGTGTAAATTATAATGTTATTTTCAATTATTCAAACAATTATTTACACACAGAACACTGTAAAATATATTTTCCAAATAGTAAATCAGAAAATTCTTTCAAGAACATATTAATAGTATATTAATTAAGTGGTTCCAAGAATGGTATGAAATTCCACTTCTTCTTTTCCCATTTATTACTAGCAGATGGCTTTATGCCTTTCTCCATATTTTTAAATAAATAAACTAAATTAACCCAAAAATTTTTTACTTAAAATTTTTTTTAAAATTTTTTAAAGTTGAATTTAAAAAAGTTCACCTTCATAACACCAATATTTTAACGACAGTCTAAATTAAAGTCCTAAAAACTATAAACATGAAGTTTACTGCAAAGTCTTATTCACTTCTTAATTATTTTTTCATCAAGACAACAAATTCTTAATTATGATATTCCCTAAGATAAAGTTTTAATTGACAAAAACAAATTATTTAAAAATATTTTTTAACCATATTATTTAAAAATATCTCGTGCCTCACTGTTTTGTTCATCACTGTTATTTTTATCATTTTTCGAATATCCAACTGCAATTGCAATGATGTCACCTTTTTTTGGAAGATTCTCGCAAATATTATTCGTTAAAAATGGTGTGAATAAAGATGTTGTCAAAAAAATGCTCGAAGGTATAGACGCCAATTTATTCTCTACTGAAAAAAAAAATACTAAAAAGACCAAAATGCAACTTTTTTTACTGATCAATGTCAATGAAAACCATGTAAAAATTTTCTGTAAATGAAAAGGAAGAAGGAAGCGGGGATGTTATTGCTTGAATTTAGTAAAAATAACCTAACCTATAAAAATATAATAACCTAAAAGAAATTCAATTTTCCCCGTTATATGCGTATTGTAAGAAAAATAACTACAACAAATTTAAACGTTTTAAGCGCCTTACCTTCTGGAATGTTTTCCTGTCTATAGAAAAGGACAAAGGGAAGTTTCCAAGCAGCATCCATATGCAAGACCTCATTCTCAGGCAATCTTTTTGCAATATGTTCGTTAAATAATACCCAATTCAAAGCCTTAAAATTTTTTTTCAGTTTTTTTCGTTGTTTTATAAGTTTTTTACTTCAAAATTTTTTCTTAAAAAAAATATTAGTAAAAATTAAAATTTATTAAACAGCAAAAAAAAGAAAAGAAAACTTAAAGATAACTGAACTGAGTTCAATGAGCACTGAGCATTCGGTAGAGAGACAGCAGTCACCAGGTTTTTGGTATCTGATTCGATATTGCTGATACCACATATTATAGCTTGTAAAACATATTTCTGCGAATTGCCAAGCTTTTTCTGAGATACTCATTTAAATGTCTCAAAAAACTTTTAAAGCTTTAATATATCATGGAATATTTTAAATGAAAATAGTATGAAATGTTATAATTACTTCTGAAACTTGACAAATTCCATCCGAAATTTTTATTTCCATATTACTAGGAACATAATGAATGTGATTAGCTCCTTCACCACAAATATATTCATTATCAGTTAAAAGACTTTTAACACTGAAAGATTCCACACCCGATGTGAATTTTTTCATTGAGTCATAGGCCTGAATATTTTCATTACTAACAATATAAAAATGCAACATTTGTGAAATATTTATTTTAAAATAACAATTAATAAGATTATGTGTATTATACAACTAGATGAAGTAAGACCTGGAGTTGTGTAGCCCAGAATGAGCATTCACCGTTTATCATTGCATCGATCATTAAAACTGGTGGAAGTAATTGTATACGCTGAGTCGATGAAATACGCGCTTGTTTTTTACAAATCGCGCAAAGCGCATCTGTTTGTTCTGGTACATTTAGCGCTTTTTCGACCAATGTGCAAAACGGCATCCTCTCCCATTCTGGCAGTGAAAAAGATCATCAGAAAAGATAAAAAATTTTGATAAAAATTTAATAACCAATTAAAAGTTTTTTCCAGTTTTCATGAATCGTTTTTCATTCATACTTTCGCTTCTTCGATTTTGCAATTCCAACTATGAGCTTAAACCTTCCATTTACTCAAAATAAACCTAAAAAACTTAAACCTAAACCTAATTTTAAATTCTGCAGCAGAAAAATTAATTTAGATCTTATTTAGATCTTATAAGATGAAATAATAGCAAAATTTCACGATTAGAACAAGTTAGTCGCAAAAAATATTTTGAAGAAGTTGACTGAAACTGAGATGAGCATCTGATGCACCTATTATTCAAACTGAAATTCAACTGCATTTGGCCACGAAGTATGAATCCTGATGGTGATGTACCTAACTCCTAAATTAAAAATACATTGAAAAAGTGCATTTTTTCAAAAATTACAAGAGAACATAAAAATCTGCTAATAATCAAATTCTATCTAAAAATAAGCTGAAAGTTTACTTAAAAGAAATATAAAATTTAAATAACGAACTTCAATGACAGAATCATACAAACAAACCTTTAAACCAAAAAATTTAATAAAAATCAAAAAACTACTTTATGAAGTCTCGAAAAAGTAAATTCAAGGAAGGATCGCGTTTTCTTAGCCAAATCCATTTGTTCTGCTTCTTTCATCCATCGATAACCGTCTTCTAATGCGCAAAACGACTTTACGAAGTTTGAAATCTTACAGAATTGTTAAATGATACAGTATGAAAGTAGTTATTGGAATAAAATTGATTTAAAATCAGGAAATAATATAAAATGGCTTTAAGCCATCGATAGTCAAATAATAAAATTTAATTTATCGAAATTTTTCCTAGAAATTTTCATAAAAATATAAGAAAATAGTACAGTAACTGGAGCCAGTGAACTTTTCTTCAATAGTTCACGAAATATAAAACCAATTTCACAAGATAAACAAAGTGAAAGATCGCAAATATGCTGCAGGAAAGCTGTGCGGACATTGGCTAAATGAAAAATTGCCTGGAAAAAACTAAACAAATTTCAGATGAAAAAACTAGTTTATTAGAACATTTTTGAATCTGCCATATCAATTCGTACCATTCACGTAAGTAATTGACATATCTCTTTTTCAATTTAGAATCAAGAAATCAAGAACTAAAACTACCTGAAAATGTGCGAATGAAATATAAGTGAAGTGGAATCTCACCAAAATTTTTTCTTTGATTAACTTAATTCCTTTTTTTAATCATTAAGAAATTTTATACATTATTTATCAAAATTAAAATTTGATGTACTCTCAATGTTTTTCATGCATTGTTATGCATATTCCAATAAACTTCTTACTGGTTAGAAGATTCAATTAAAGAAGTTCTATACGGCAGGAAACATTTTGCAAAAAGCAGTAAAAATAAGCAAATCAAGTAGTTGAACATATACTAAAATAGTCACAAACTTTTGAATCTTTCTCAACTAATCAAGCTAATCAACTAGTTCCATCACTGTCGCAATTAAATGAAATAATTAAAAGAAAAAACGTAAATCTCTATAAGAAAACCGATGAACATAAACTTTCACGCTTTCAATAATTCCATCCAAACCTGATGAGAAAAAACACAAACCAATATTACTGGCGCAACTTGTGGAAATTTTAAATGACCTTCGATGCAACAGAATTCGGTATCATTAAATTTCATACGATGCGCAGCTTCTTGGGATAGAGGGATTTTCTGGTAAAATTTAGGAATAAAAGGGATGGAATTCTCGCTCATCGCTGAAAACTCATCACCCAATTAATTTCTCATTACCCAATTAAATTTGGAAGAATTTTTAATTTCTCATTCTTATTATGAAAAATATGCTTTTTAAGAAATATTCAGAAAGAAAAGAAAGAAAAGTTATTATTACCATCTGCTGGAAAATTTCTATTTGAAGCAGCAGTCACATTTGAATATGGCTGAATGTTATGAGTCTTGAACGTAACACGAGGATTTCGAGCATAACCGACGAAATCAAGCATTTTCATCGATTCCAAAATCTGTTCTGGTATTGGATCCGGTTTTCTACAAAAAACAATAAAAATTATGAAAAAAAGATATAATAAAAATTATGAAAAAAAAGATGATTATATATTAATGATAACCAAATTATTAAAAGCAAAAATAATACCTAAAACAACGCACGCAGAGATTTTCCGGCCAGTCGGATAAGTAGTGATCATCTGTTGAAAATGGAAGAGGAATGCTGCTATATGCTGATGAAGACTCATCGAAATTCATTATTTCACGATAATACTGAGGCTAGAGCATATAATCTCACTTAGATGAAGAAAATGCTCAATATTGAAGGAAATAACAAAATTAATCAATCAGATCAGAAAGACTCACCGGAGTGGCAAAATCAGTTGGATAAGCATCTTCATTAAAAGAAGCTTGGGCACGATCCGAAAAAAGATGGATAAAGCCTAAATTCAAATCATACTTTCAATTTAAAATATGAGCAGATGAGTATTAAAGAAAAGAAAAGAAAAAAACGATTACCACTTTGATCACCAAAAGCTATGCACTGCCGCGATGGTGAAACATCAAGAGATATCAATGCCAATCCATTCAAATCAAGTTGAATGGGCATATGACTAGGTGACTGATTTAAATCTATCACCATCATTTCACCGGCCTAAATCTATCAGTATAGAAAAAGATTTAAAAATCCTGAGGAATCCAAAAAATAACCCTTAAATCTTGATTATTTTAACACAAATTTTCATACATGCTTTTGAAACTATTTATTTATTTCCCAAAATAAGGATAAAGAAAAACTGACATATTAGAAAAAGAATCATTACTTGAGAAGCGACAACTAAACGACTGTCCGAATAGGTAGGTAGAAAGCGGCAAAAAACTGGAGCAAAAGGTAAATGGTAAGGTGGCAGTGATCGTAGAGTTCTGAGATCATAAGTCATCAGAAAGCGATCGCCGATTAAATTCCCATGCCTGAAGCAGTAGCAGTGTTATCTACTGGAAACGCTTATTGATTTATTATTAAAAATCCCCCAGATATCTGCGAATGAAATTATTGAAAAAGAAAAATAATAAAATAGAAAGCATAGGTTAACCATACATAATTTTTTAAATTTAAGAAATAATCATCATCATCATATACCTGTTTGAATATCCACAGGTTACAAGCTTATTCCCACAAACATCGAAGTCAGCAACGCTATTCTGATGAGCTTGTAACGCATGGAGATCATCTACTGTTGATTTATGCTGCAGTGTTACCTGAAAGACTTTAATTAACTATATGAAAATTAAGCAGGACAATAACTAAAGGTTTCAAAAGCTTTAAAACATAAAACAAAAAAAACATCAACATAATAAAATAAAAAAAAGAGGACAAAGTTTCCACAACGGATTGAAGATTAAATTGTTTATGCAAAAATTATAGATGAATACCATGGATAATTTAATCAAATAAAGTTTGTTACATTTTTATATTCGAAAACGATTAGAATGATTTATGTAAAATCTTTTTTTATCTTAACTTTTTTTAAAGAATACTCAGCGTTGCTGGTTAGACTCGCTCCGTTCGTTTTTCGAAATATACTAGAGATTTTCTTGATGACAGAGTACAGATGAATAGCCAATATCATCCTTATTTTTGGACAGGTTCACTCCTGTCGAGAGAGCAGACGCCCCGAATTGAGCAAGAACCCACTGAGCCATTCTACTCTCCTTTCCTTTTCTCCATTAGGCGACAGTGTCACCCGACGAAGATTTGGCGGAATCGAATCTAAGCTTCGATTGAGGCAATTATCTTGCCCCACCGAACCATTCTTGGCATTAATTTAGATAAATCTTTAATATCTAAGTTTTGTACGAGTAAGATTTATTAACACTACCTCTAAAAAATTATCAAAACGATCAGCCAAAAAATGTTAGTGAAAATAATTGATAATTGATATACTTACATTTCCAGCCGAATCGCAACTAAAGATGAATTTTTGATTCGATCGTAAGGCCAAACAATCCCTTTGTTTCATATGCACCTATATTAATCTTTAAATTCTTGAAGGTTCAATTATAAAATGAAAAAATTTGTTAGAAAATAAAAAATTAATAAATAAATAAAAAACTGACGACACGAGTTTCTTTCTGAGTCAGCAAATCTAACTGAATTAATTTCTGCTGATGACCACCAATTAAAACTGTATTAGGAACGTCCGGATGCTGGTGCATACATGTTCCATTCACTAGATTTTCCGAACTATAAATAATGATTATTTATAAAACTGACAGAAAAATGGAAAAAAATGTTATTGATTGAATAAAATCTTATCTCCTTAATCTCCTTGAAAAAAAATTAAATTCTTAGGAGACCACACCATCAACTTTAATGTATAAGAGGTCAATATTCTTGTCAATGCATCTTTTCAATTACTTTGTAATCAAATTTTTTCCATGAGTATTACATTAATTAACAGATATCAGTAGAAAATTTATATTGAAATATATGTAAATATTATTGTTGTAAAAAAAATTGCTTTCTCGGAGTAGCGTGGGTATTATGGATCATCTTCAATCCTGAGAGTTTGAGGAATCTATCATACTTGTGCTTTTCTAGACAGAGATCTCTGATGTTATTCTTGAAATCTATTGGAACTACCCCCTTTGAAGTTTGAAGGTTGCTCAGTGCTACCACCATTGAAACCAATTTGGCCATCATTTTCTCTAGTTCCCCTTTTAATCCCTTCTCTAGTTTCTCATAATTCTTCCTCTTCTTCATGTTTCATGTCACTTAGTATCGCTATCCAACATTAGTGCTGATTTCTAATTCTTATCTACTACTATGGCACCTCGATGATTAGGTAATACTTGTTTTCTTGGACACAGAAGACTCACAATATCTTGGCCCCATTACTTTTCCCAATTTTCTAGATTTTCTATCTAGTCTTAGAAGGCTTAAGCAATATACAATATACTAAACCGATATTCCCATAGAATGCCAGCTATTTGGTTATATATTTAATCATCAGTATTTGCTGTTCCTACTGGCTGCCATGTTCCACAGTTTTTGAGCCTTATAATATAATATAAACTATCTACATTAATTAATAGACAAATAATTTCATATAAGTAGTAAAATAAATGGAACATACGAATATGAAAATATAGGAATTCCTTGTCGCCTATTTGCTCGTAATTTCTGCTCTGTTAGAGATAAGACTAAAGTTTCTGTAACCGTTATGTGGCGAATATCAGCCTTAGCTGATAAAAAAGCTGTATATTTCACTAAATCTCCTCCATAAAAAGAAACTACACGGCCCTAAAATAAAAATTGCGTTATCAAAAAATATAAATAAATAAATAAATATTAAAAATGAAAAAATACTTTTTTAAGGGTTTCGACAAGTTCATTCAGCGATTAGATATTATCAAAAAATCTAAAATAACAAAAAAAAAAAAATTACCCCGTTATTGCCAGACCAAAGAAGTTCCTCAAAAGGGTCAAATGCAAGAAACGTAACAGCATGCACTAAGGAAGCATTCTGAGGAGTATGACTCAATAAAGCAAATCCACCTTGAGGTACAGCCATATTATGATTAAACTGAAATTATCAGTTGCATCAAATATATCTTCAATTTTAAACATATTTAAGAAGAAAATATTCTATTCTATATATTCTATTCTATACATATTCTATATATTTTTAAAAATTTTGATACTAATTAGAAAAAGAATTTAAAATTTTAGAATGAAAATTTACAATAATTAAGCGATTTGAAATTTAAATTTCACAAAAATTGGCAAAGACAGATCAATTTGACATTGCCTATACCAATCATAAATCATCAGAAAAAATTTAAATTTAATTTCAATGATAAATTTAAAAGACCAAAAAATAAAAATGCTAATTTTTCAATCACTGCGCCCCAAATGGACCAAAAAAATTAAAATAAAACAAGCAAATATAATTCTTATACTAAATAATAAATTAATTTGGAAATCATGTGGGTTAATACTTTAGTTATGAAATGATCTGAAAACTGGTGGAAGGTCAAGAAACATTTATCAAATTTCTCGAAAATTATCAAAAAATTTAAAAAACAAATAAGCTTATTCATTAAAACAGCTTCATTCAAAATACTGCGGTTTTACGAGGCAATTTCTTCGTATTTCGATTGAAAATAAGGGCAATTATACTTTCAGCTAACGCAGTAACGCAAATTATTTAGTCCAATGGATTCTCTCAATGACTTGTTTTGGAAAGCGAAAAAACCCAATTTATCGAATAATCAAATTATAAAAATAATATGTATATATATATATATGTACAACTAATACAGCAAAAGTTTCAAATGAAAATGATGAAGTTTCATCCAATAATTTTCGAAATCTCATATTTAATTAGAAAAGTAAATGAAAATTAAATACTCACATTTTCTGGTGGAAGATCGAGAACAACGTGTTCATTACTATTGACTGCTGATGCTTCATACATATTCACGAATTAGTAGTATATTTTTATAATTAGTAACTATAATTCTTAATCTTAATCTATACATTCCAAATCCAGCTTTGCAATTCTAAAATTTGTAGATATCATTGTTATTCTGAAAAAAAGATGATCAATTAATTACCAATTAGTATTACATGTATATAGCTGGTATATGACATGTGTATTGAAGATACTTAAATGCAACAAACTATATACGACGAAAAATTTCAAATTTTTCAAATTTCAAATTTCCTGCTCACCAATTTAACTCCTATAGGAAAGAAATCCACAGTTACTCTTTAGCCAGCCTTTTTGATTGATCTTCTATTATCTATGGAGATCGATATCAATCATATGTCTTAATTTAGCTAAAGTTTTTGAGTTCGCCATAGCAAAAAACGAAACAGTATGCCAACTGATGGGAAACTAAAAAAATAGTGCATTCCAGATTATTTGTGTGGATGTTCTCAAGCCATTGGCAGCTTTAACCAAGATAATGTTAGGATTGGATGTGCTAATGAACCTTATGAACTTTTTTCTATTCATAATGTATATTAATGAAATTGTTGTTGTTCACAATTCTTAATTCTTAATTCACCTTATCGTTGCGCTGATAAGATTTATTATTTACACAGAAAATCAAGAATTTTAAGCAATTTATTTACACAACTGATCGATTTAATTTAATAAAACCGACAAGCGAACTGAGATGTATTGAAGTGTAGGTTCAATCAGCTTTCACTGATAATGTCACAATGTTGAATGTTTCAAATGTTGGTCTAATGATAATCGATAATAAAATTAATATCGACTTCTATAGCAGAAATAAAGATAAAAAATCATTTTAAATTTTAAGCAATCGTTTTTCCAAAAATATGAATGCAATTTATATATATATATATATATAGACTTTCAATAGCTTAAAATTTTTTCAATTTTTTAAAAATATGCTGGAAAGAATAAAATAAAAAGAATGGGCCATATTTACATAGAATTAATAAAGTATAAAGTATAAACTCCTGTGTTATGTGATATTCCACTATAGATAATTTTAGAAAGACGACAGAGACTGTCTCTCCCTCCTTTTTCATTTCCATTTTCAATTTTAATCGCTAAACATAAACCAACAACAATTTCTGCTTTAACAATAATTTTCTCTAATTCTCTTTGCTGACATTTCTTTAAATCCCGCAATATTACCTTAAGAATTCGATGAACAGTTTTATTGCTGATGGTTAGTGGGAAAAAAGGGAAGAAAGACGGTGAAATAATATGACGTGGATATATTAAAAGAACACAACGGGAAATTAAAACAAATTAACATAGCTTGAAAAGCTGAAAGGTAAATTAAGAATTTGCAAATGTTATAAAGTAATCGAATTCCAGGGGGATTTTTAATTTTTTCTCGTGCGGATATTTACACTTATCTACGCACTTATCTTAGTTCCTGAGGAAATAATAATTCAAGTTATCCTTTTTCTTCTAAAAGCTCTCACCATTACTGGTTAGGCTAACTCTGCTGGCTTCAAGAGTAAGACCTCTCCAAGCTCGGTCCGACGTTATCGCCAGCAGTAATAGAAACCATTCCTATACCATTGTCTAAATATATATCGCTGGTCCCCTATAAGTTCAAAATCTTTCCTGATTGCATCATCTGGATCTTGATTAGCCTTCCTTGCTTTTGACGCCAACCATCACAGGATTTAGCAATTAGCGAAATATAGGAAAAATCAACTCCTGTGGTGGTCGGTGGAGAATGTGCTCTATTCATCGAAGGCGATGCTCTGTGATAACATTAATAATTCAGGTGGTACTTGAGTAAAGATGGCTTACAATCATATGCGATTTTATCCATCCGACGGATCCGTAAAATTTATTTTAGACATGAATGGTCAAAGGTTGATGCTTTCTTAATATCTTCCACTCTCATTGGCCATGTTTCGCTGCCATATAGCAAGGTCGAGAGAATTGTAGCTAGATGGACGCAGATTTTAGTCTT